TCTTTAGTATATTAGCTCCCAAGTTTCCTCTTATTATAAGAGGTTATTATTAAAGGTAGGCTCGGGCTGGGATATATATAATATATATATCTCTTTTTCTTTTACTTCTTTTTACCTAATTCTTTAATAATTCTAATAGATAACTTTTTATTTAGTTCTCTATTTGAGACCTCCTATAGGCGCTTCTTCTGGCTTCTTCTATATAGTTCTATAATTTCTAATTAAGCTATTCTTATATTTCTATTATATTAAGAAAAATTTCTCTATTAATAACCTTCTATATCTAATCTTTCTAGGGCTATATAATTAGCTATTCTACCTTAATTTTACTAAATAACTACTCCCTATTAAAGTAGCTAGAAATAGATATAGTATAGTTACTATCTAATAATCTATTATTCTTCTAGTTCTAACTTATAGAGAATTATTTCAGTTATAAGCTAATCTTCTATTTTTCTAACTTCTCTTTACTAAATTATACTAGTTATTATCCTCTCCTTAAATTAGCCTATATAGTTATATTTTCTCTTTCTATAATATATACTTCTTCCTTAGGAAAGTTATAATTATTATATTCTTTCTTTCTTATAGTATTAAGTTATTTCTTTTTCTATAGAGCTCTATCTTTCTAGTAAGAGCTTACTATATATTCTAGTAATCCGTATTTAAAGTATAATTTATTCTTTTAGTATTTATCTATCTTTCTCTTAAATATCTTATACTTCTATTTAAAGGTAGTATCTAATTCTATAGATAAATAGTACTAATTCCTATATAACTTTTTCTTAATATTATTAGAATATATCTCCCTCTTTTCTAAGATATACTTAAATAGATAGTTATTAATCTTTATTACTAGTATTATTATTTTAGTTAGATTATCTGATTTCTCTGACTAAAAAATCTCGTTCTTAACTAAATCCTTAAGGCTATAATAGTACTATACTTAGAGAATAGCTTTATTTCACTTTATATATATAGCTAACTATTAGAACTCTATAGTATAGCTTAAAGCCGAGCCTCTCTAACGGAGGTACTATAGTTCCCTTTTAGCTATATATTCCTCCTTAATATCTCTAAAGACCTGATTAATTCCTTCTCTAAATTCTAATATAATATATAGATATTTCTTGATTTCTTTCTTATATTATAAGCTCCGATAAATTATTAATTATAATTATTAATTAGTAATTATTATTGGCTAAGTAATTAATAGTTAATTAATATTAATAATTATTATTAATAAAAGTAGGTCTAGCTATTAAGCAAGCCCCATTATATAAATATCTTACTTTCTAGTTTAATTATAAACCGATTAGTATAAAGATTAGTATAAAAGTAGACTATTATTACTATACTATTATACTTTTTAACTTTTTATTTAATAGTCTATTATATAATATAAACTAGCTAGTATTTAATATAGTTATTAATAATACTATTAATAAAAGTGGGCCCAGCTAGCTATTAAGCGAGCCCTATTATATTAATAATTCCATTAATAAAAGTGGGCCCAGCTAGCTATTAAGCGAGCCCTATTATATTAATAATTCCATTAATAAAAGTGGGCCCATTAAGCGAGCCCTCTTATATTAATAATACTATTAATAAAAGTGGATTCAGGCTTAGTAATAGCTATAGGAGTAATATTACAGGGCTACTATAGGGCTAATATACTATATTTATAGGTCTTATACTGCCTTTTCTTTAATACGGCAGAATTCCGATTTAGTAAAGGTAATAGAAGGCCTATAAATATAGTATATTGGCCCTATAGTAGCCCTATAGTATTACTAAAGCCCTGGACCCGATAATTATTAACAAATTAGTACAATTATCTAATTATTACTTATTGAGCTTATTGGAGCCTATACTACTTATATCCTATAGAGACCTTACCTTTAGCCGTCTTATTTTTTATAAAGTTAATTAAGAACGGACTAATCTAGTTAAAAGTGGCTCTTCTTAGTATAGTAATAATAAATAAAACTTATTCCGTTTCTAAATAAAACTTCTTTTAATTAAATACTATATAGAGTTTATACTATATAAGGAAGTATTAAAGTTTGAAATAGGTTCTATTAAACTTATCGGGTAGCTCAACTTGTAGTTCCCTAATAGAAAGGTCCGGAGCTTATAATTACCCTATCTTATTACCTATATAACTTATTCTATATTTATTTTTACTAGATATTATTATTAACTTATATCAAACCGGTATTATAATAATAGGGTACTTAAAATATAATACTTATATTACCTAGTAATAGAAGTAAGCTTTATATATTTAGTTAGGAAGTTTTAGGTAAGGGTTCTAGTAAGCCGAATAGTATTACCGAATAATATTATAAAGTATTATATAGTTATAAGTATAAGAATACTATTTAAGTTAAGTATAAAGCTCCTAAACTAATAGAAACTATTCTACTTATATAGACCTTTATATATTTATAGATTAAGGAATCCGAGGAATCGAGAATTTAATTCCAGGATTCTTTAGATCTATTACGTAATCTAATACCCGTAATTCCTACCTGAAATTCTATAATATAACTAGTATTATACTGAGCCTAAAGTCCTCAGGCCTTATAGTATTTATAATATAGAGTTTCTTAAGGCCGTAATATTCAATTTAATACTCTTATATATCTCGCTTATATATATATATTAACTTTTCTAAATAACTTTATAAGTATTAAATTAAAGCTTAAAGCATTTTATTATATTAATTAAGTAATTATTATTATAAATAAAAGAATTACAAATTTCTATTCTTAAACTATTATTAATAATATTAATAATATTATTACTATTTTAATTTACTTAAAAGTATATATATTATCTTTATTATATATTTACTTTAAATATATAATAATTAAAATAACTTTCTTATTAATTTAGATTTAGTAAACTAAGTTTTATAGTAAGTATTAAAACTTATTTTAATAAGCTAAAAGCTTTAATAAATAATAAACGAGGTATAATAACTCTTTTAATTAGAGATTTATTTATAATAAAGTAGATTTATTAATAAGTAAATTCTGGTATTATTAAGAGAAAATATTACTTATATTACTTATAAATAAAGTTAATATTTAATGCGATTTTAAATTAAGCTTATAATTACGCTTTAAACTTAATAGCCTTAGTCTCCTTTATCTTAATCTTAAATATTTTAAGTTTAGTAATTATATAAGTATATAAGTATATAATATTAAAATAAGATATTTAACTTTATAAGTTTATAAAATATTAATTAAGAAATAATAAGAGTCTATTATATTTTATAATACTTAATTATTAATAAAGAACGAATTATAAGCTTATAAGAAATAGGAATTATAAATACTATAATTATATTACTTTTACTTTAAGTATTAACTAATTGCCCTTATTTAATATAAATTCCCCGAAATATTAAATTAAAATACTTTAATTTATTAGTTATTTAAATATATAAGATTTAGGTATATCTTAATATTTATATATAATATTAAAAAAATTCTTTATTCTTATTAATATAAGGTCTTATTTTAATATTAATATAAATAAAGGCTATTTTAAAAAGATTAATATATTAACTTTTTAAATTATATAATTTAAATAATACTTTAAATAATTATAATTAATAGAATAACTAGTATAGAGTTAGAAAATTATATATAGTTTATTAAGCTACTCGCGGAATTATATTACGTAATAAGAATTATAAAAATAAATAGGCTTATTCTTTTTTTAATAAAATTTTTATAAAGTAAATTTTATTTTAATACTATTTATAACGAGTTCTAAGTTAATATTATAAAGGAGATTAATAAAAGAGTTTTATAAACTTAATATAAGAATACGTTTTTATTAATAATTAATTATAAGGGTTATAACTAATTTAATTATAATAATCGGGAAAAAATCAATATTTATAATATATTAAAAATATTTCGAAAGCTTATTTAATTTACTCGTTTTATATTATTTATACTCTAGCCTAGTTTAATTTATTCTCTAATAAGTAATATATTCCTTAAAGTGTCTTTAATTATATTATCTTAAATAAAGTAACTAAGAAGTTAATATAAAGTAAAGTTAATTCTCTTATATACTGTCTTATTTAGTTATACCTTTAAAAGGAAAAGAATATTAATATAAAATCGAGAGAAATTTTTCTATTTAATATCTAGCCTAATTAATTAAGTAAGTACTATTCAGGTTACTTAAGAGTCGCTTAGGGACTACTTTAGGACTGTTCTAAGACTACTCTAGGACTACTCAAGCGGCTCAGGTGAGTTGGGTAAGCTGAAGGTGAGCTAAGAGCGATTAGCGCCTAAGTTAAAGTGGCCAGGCTTTACTAACTAATCTTGGAATAAAGATTGAAGGATTAGAGTTCAACTACTAGGAAAGTCGGACTCTAATCTCATCCTTGCTGGTTCCGTTTTAGTCTCCGGACTTGAGCAGCTGCTGCTTTTCACTGAGTTGAAGTGAGCATACCTGAGCCGAAGGTGAGCGTGCCTGATCAGAGCCTGAGCACACCCGAGCAGAGCCTGAATAGATCCTAAGTATCCTGAGTTAGTCTACGCACCATAATACGGGACCCATTTTGGCCTCCTCGTGGGCTGACTATAGTTTTCTTACCAAATTTTACCCGGCTGGAATCGGAGGCGCTGGATCGATTGGCGCTATTTGGGAGGTGTTCTGATGGTTGGATGTTGAACTATTTCCAAAAAGGTTCCCTTTGAATAACCCCCTCTCCCCCCAAATGCTTTTCTTCGTGAGACGTGCTTGAAACAAGTGCCAGGCGTTATTTGGTGCCTTTAGGCATCAGGTACTCCTTTCAACAAACGCGAAGATCAAAACGAGAGCACGTGATATCTATCTGGCAGCCTGTGATTTCAGATCACACTTTTGTATGTAATTAATACACGTGAAACTACGTAAGCTCGGTCGGGCACTAAATATAATGACCCGATCGAGTGAGAATAGAAACCTCACGTCCTCTTTACCCTTTTCAATCACAAGCCTGACTGTAGTAGGTCTTTCCTTAACTGATGATAGTTCACCCTAGAACGTTGCAAATACTCGGAATTCTGAGGCTAACATCTCTGTGAAGCCTGCAGTCCAAGTCGAGATGGCCCATACCTTCGAGTTCCGCAATACATTTGGCAGCAACGACACAGTGCCAAAGGAGACGGCAGCATACGACTTCATCACCGTCCTTGCCGTGGCTCAGAAACTCCAGGTCGAAATCTTACCCATAACGTGGCAATCAACAAGAGAGCTTGCGGGAAGGGGAAAGACAAGTGAGATCAGTCAGTCATCGATCAATTTGCAGACTAGCCTTGCGTTCAAGCGTGTTGCAAAGAAGGACAAAAGATATGAGCCTGAGGGTCAAATTTTTCAATCCGTGATAAATGAGATCACTGCATTATGCCATCCATCCATCCGAAACCATCCAAATATCGTGGAGTTGCAGGGTATATGCTGGGATATTCCTGTGAAGGAAGATATTGACGATAATGAGATGGTAGAGCGTGTATGGCCGGCTTTAGTGTTTGAGAAGTCTGAATTTGGAGACTTGGGGCACTTTGCAATAATGCCCATCTGCAGAGAACTTGGCTTTAAGGACCGACTAGAGCTTTGTATGGGTATCGGCATTGCGGTCGCAGACATGCATTGCAATGGTAAATCTCACGCGGGAGTAAACGAACAGCAGTGCTTACACATTTAGGGATCATTCATGGAGACATCAAGCCCCAGAACGTTCTCGTTTTCAAGGATAAAACCACCAGTACATTCACAGCAAAAGTCATCGACTTTGGTTTTTCAACTTGGTACACCCATGAGGATCATCATCTAAGACTTGCACGGACGCCTCCATGGGACGCCCCAGAGCATCGCGAGTACACTGAATTTAAGCCAGCCCAAGCGCGCAAGACGGACGTGTTTTCATTCGGTATGCTCTGCCTTTGGATGCTTTTTGAACGGAAGCTGTCATCCAGAGATGAGTTTTGGACGCAAGAACCTTTCCAGTACGAATTGGGAGGACAATTGTCACGTCTGGAGGCGCTGAAAAGCGCCAACAAGCTTGTGTTGTTAGCGGACCGACTGTTAGGTGAGAAAGACGACCTGGATAAGGAGAGAAGAGAACAACTCAAAGAATTTTTCCGATTATCTATTGTCAACAATGCAGACCTGCGAGCATCTGACCTCCAACATTTACTCACCCTACTAAATCCAGATAAGTATGCTGAGAAATTAGTTACAGACCGAAATACATACTCACTTTTGTCAATAGAGTCCAGTGTGCACTTAATATCGAGAAACCTGTGGAAGAGATTATGTCACCTTCAGACTGTGGATTTAAGGTAATATATACGAAGTCTGACAGCAAAGGTACCGCGCTAAGCAATGTAGATAATAGACTCAATAAGACCAGCCTACAAAGGTGACTATCGAGTGCGTACTTACATTACTGCCTGCTTGGAGAATAGGCTGGATGGAGTGTTACTCCCTTGTATCGAGGCCGACTGCACGGACAGTGCTTTCCAATTGAGCGTTTGCCATTGGGTTGGTTTTGGCATTGAGAGAAATGAAGAGAGGTCAAGAATGATGCTTGAACTAAGCGGAAAGAAAGAAGGAGCGCTGCACCAAGAATTGGAACGCTTTTCGAACCCGGCATCTAACGGAAAAACTGGTACCACCTATGCAGATTTATTTCGACTTGGACATATTACTGAATTGGATATTGCGGTTTATTATCTGGAACACGATCAGCAGCAAAGTGCTGAACGGGTGATACAACAGGAAATAGTACAACTGGAACAGGTGCTGGGAGATAATTGCTACTGTTTGCATGACCTTATGCAAGCACTGTATATGATCATGTCGAACCAAGGGCGCTTGGTAGAGGCACAAAAGCTAAAGAAGAAATTATTGGAGAGAGCTGAAAGACTATTTGGGGAGGAGGATTCCGCAACGCTGACCAGCTTACAAGCTTTGGCATCATCCCACCATGTTTTGGGGCACTGGAAGGATGCAGAAGAATTGGCAATACGACTAGTTCAAATCAGAGAGAGGTTGGTAGGCCCGGAACACTTGTCTACGCTGAGCGCTACAAGTCTTCTTTCATCTATCTACCGAGACCAGGGGAGGTGGGCAGATGCAGAAGAACTGCAGTTGCGGGTATTACAGACAAAGTCAAAAGTTGTAGGGGAGGAATCCCCGAACACGATGAGTGATATGGATAACCTGTCATCGATCTACCGTAAACAGGGTCGGTGGAAGGAAGCAATACAACTGGGAAAGAGAGTTATGGATATAGGTTTGAGAGTACTTGGGGAGAAGGACCCTTCGGTTATGATTGGAATGGGCAATTTGGTGTCAGCGTACCACGGCGAGGGACAATTCAAAGAGGCAGAAGAATTGGGCACACGGGCCAAAAATATCTGTCTTAATGTGCTAGGTGAAGAGCACTTTGTCACCTTAATCGTCATGAGCAGCTTGGTAGCAACATATCGAGAACAGGGGCAATGGGAGATTGCCGAAAATTTGGGTACGCAAGTAATGCAGGGCAGTCTGAAGATTCTAGGTGAGGAGCATCAGTTCACGCAAAATAGCAAGGCAAATATGGCATCAATATATCGGTCTCAGGGTCGTTGGGATAAGGCAGAAAAGCTAGAGGCGGAGGTCCTTGCGATAAGCTTGAAAACGCTTGGGCCAGAACACCCTGACACGCTCATCAGCATCGGCAACCAGGCAACGGGCTATCGGCACCTCGGGCGCTGGCAAGAGGCAAAAGAGTTAGCAACAGAGGTGACGGAGAAATGCAAGAAAGTGCTTGGCGAGGAGCATCCCAGCACTCTTGTTAGCATGGGTAATTTGGCATTAATATACCGAGACTTAGGCCAGCTGAACGAGGCAGTAGCTTTAGAAGCACGTGTGGTTGAAATTCAGGAGAAGAACTTGGGAACAGGCCATCGAGACACCCTTACTGCGATGTCTAATTTGTCACTAACATACCTGGCTTTGAACCGTTTTGAGGAAGCAGAAGAGCTGGGCATGAAAGTGATGACGAGAAGTCTGCGGGTGCTTGGCGAGGAACATTCTTTAGCAATGATGGGTATAGACAACTTGGCATTCATTTATGAGAGCCAGGGACGTTGGGAGGACGCAGAGGAGCTGGAGATACGACTGTTAGAAACAAAGCGAAAGGTGTTAGGTGAGGGCCATCCACAAACCTTAGCCGCAATGGGTAATCTCGTTATGACGTACAGGAATTCTGCGAAGTTGGCCAAGGCAACAGAGCTCGAAGCGCAACTTATGGCATTTCCAATGGAGGAATAGGGATCCCATAGCATTCTTCGACCACCGAAGAGTATCGAAAAGTTTGAGGTTCATTAGATATAGTCAGCAATATGGTATTTTTGTAGTTCTTGTAGGCTAAGAAGAACATATTCCTTGGGTGAGCTTGTCACGTTGTTCTCCTGAAATGGCACCTGGGAAGCCTAATACATTTCTTTCTGGTACGCGTGACTCCCGATGGGTGCATGTTTGGTGAATGAGGAGTTGTGTTTTCGCACCTGCTGAAAATAGTAGTCGAACCAGCAATATATGGAGTGTGAGGACAGGGACGCACATAACCCATGTGCTGGTAGCATTGAGATTTCAAGGGTATCGAAACCATGAAGAACACGAAGAATAGAGAATTTGCAAGTGTATATTTCGTTGGATACACAGGGAAAGGCACTACGTATTGCTTGAAGTTCATAAAATCCAGAAGGGTCTTAGTGTTCAACAACCCCGAAGAAATTAGATGACATCCTTGTTGCGTTGTTTCTGCGATCTCCCTGCCGCGTAACGAAGAATCAGGAACGCCAATAACGTGAGAAGCGTAAAACCCAATGTTACAACCATGAATACCCAGAAATCTGGAGCAAGTACAAAATGTGAGTTTTTCAGATCGGAGCCAGCATCTGAGGTAGTTTGAACCGCGTCCGAGCTGAATATTGTCTAGGAATATGAGAATTAGCACAAATTTTTGGTTCAAGGCAGACATTTATATCTGCTGAGTTACATACCGCGCTCAGGGTAGCAGGAAGATAGATAGTCGCAATCAATGTCAAGGTTTTGAGAGTAAGAGAACCTTTGTTATTTTCTCTAGCAAGTTTGGCGAGAGTCTGGCTGGTTTCGTTGCTCCTAGTTGAGATATGTTCTAATGCTACAATGTTCTTCTCAATTGATTGACTCGTTTTGTGTGACTTTTCGACCTGTCTAAGCTCGAGGATCTTAGAGAGCTTGGTAAAGTGAGTGGAGATCCGCTATATGTGGCGAAATGCAGAGTATCTCACCAGGTTTCCAATGCTATACGATCTCTCCAAAATTGCTATAATGTTCTTGATATGCGAGGCTATTTCAGCAGCATACAAATGGAGACCGGCTGCGCTTTCGACACTCACTCTGACAGGATTACTACTTTGATTCTGGGAATCGTCATCTCTGATCCTGATACCGAGCCAGCTGTCCTCGAGCCCTCGCGCAAGATCTTGACAGCATTCTAATGCGCGGCGTGCCTTTCGCAATTTCCTTTGCAGGATATAAAGAGACTGACAATCGGTGAAAGTGACCGAATAGTCGACTTCGCTTATGTCCTCGACGTTCGAATAGGAGGCTTTCACGTCCTGGGCACAGCTCAGAACATAGAACCAAGTCACAGATTTCGAGTATAATCACCAGTACGTCGACTTTACCTCCGAGAAAATCAATGTACTCTGACCAGTGGGTGGAAATCGCACTGATAAGTATAATATGCAGCTCAAGGCATTTTGATTGCATCACATCGATGCATAGCTTGGGACTAACTTCAAGTTGTTCCAAGACTGTACGCGCAGCTTGAGGAATCTGCACGAAGATCCAGTTGGATCGTCTATTTGGAATATTCAGTTTGTGGTAGACGGCGGTCTCCCGCATAGACCATGGGTCTCCTTCTTGGCGGTGATTCTTCTCCACATGATAGACATTGTAGCAGATTTCGTCTAGGGAAGGTGAGCGACGCAAAGTGTGTCGGGTCGGACCAGCTCACAATAAGTCGACACGTGATAAGTCAGCGCCGGAAAGTGTGACGTACGAAGGATCAGATGAGCATTGTTGTTCTCCCTGATCCTCTGCCCAAAGGTCTTCACTAACTTATTGTAGTGCTCAAAGACCTGCTCTGATACTAGTAATTTGTTGAAAGCATCTTGGGTGATGTTGAGATAACCCCAAGAGAAAACTTTGGATATCAAGCTGTAATCAGTCAGTGTTGAAAATACCACAGGGCCCTCGGCAGACTAGATGTGGTGATTGTTGGTGCTCAGCTCCTGCTAGCTAAGTTAGTTCGTCTATAGGGATTTTGGAGGTGGATGCATTTAACTGCTAATTGTTGTTCGAGAGTGTTGGCTTCCTGAATATTCTGCCACTTGGAGTCTAATGTATTAATTTAATAATTCTCTCGTACGGAGCTGGCGACAGATAGCTGGAGGATAGCCTTACTATATCCTATAACATCGTTTGAAATGGACAAGATCTCAACCTGGACTTTATCGCCAAAGAGTTTGTGGGCATCATCATTCGACATTTGGGGATGCATTTTTCCTTCCAGGCTGGATCAATACAGTAGGCGTGCTAGATCAGTGGAGAAGTAGGGTAGCGTTGTGGGACAGGCTGGCAAGGCGTCACAACCATAGAAATAGAGGGAGTGCAAAGCGGTGTTTTTGACTGAAGAGCTAAGTCGGAGCTGCGTAGTGAAGCGTGCTTTTATCTAGCTGCGCTTACCTCAGGTCACATGACGTCTCGCGTCACGTGACCCAATCATAGTGAGTACTGAATCTGACATTCTTGTTTCAAATATCGTAAAAGTTGTAGGTTACGTGCAGGCTATGGAACGAATATTTCTTCAACCTGGAGTCCATTTACCTCATTCGTTTGTCGCATGAAACGTGACGAGCGGAAGACATGACGACGCCAGATCTTACAGGGCCACGTTTTGTACTCGGCGACCACCATTTCGCCTTATCTCACCACACTCACAGAGAAATTCATTCAACCCCTGCATCATTCTCTGTAGAAAGGAGGGCTTCGAAGTCAAGTGGGACCAATTGGATTACGAAATCGGATGATTGCAGGTTTTGTTGCCACGTAGCAGAGTAGATCCCGGCAGAGCAGCGGCGTACTTCGTAATCAGCTCGCATTCCGGGAGCCCAGTCGCCGGCCAACCGCGGTTTCGCCCGGCAACAGAAGGGGGTGGAATATCATGTTTGAGGCTGAGCCGTTGAGACCCTTTTTCTTTGAAACATCTCCAACCACCTCCCTCCAACAGAAGCAAATCCGACCACTCCATCAGATCTCGACACTAAAATCAGCGCACAGCACCGCTAGAATCGCAATCCGGAACCCAACAAGATGCCAGTGAAGCAGACAATTCCTAGCAGATACATCAATAGGGCCGACCTTTCGGCTCTGTTGACCAGCTTATTCGGTAGCAATTTCGCAGTCAAGGTAAGCTGAGCATCGCACGTTTCTAGCTAAACCTTTGAAAAACTGACAAAGCTTAGGTCTTAGAGGACAGCTACGGGCTAATAATTCCTAGAGAGCTGAGTGACGTGTGTTCGTCGGTTCAGACAAAATAAAGAAGGGCTGACAGCACTCGCAGACAGAGATAGCTGGGATTACACGACCACAGTGATTCAGGGATAGCTCTGTTGGATTTAGCTTGAAGGAGATGACGACAAAATTGCCGATAAAAATGAAGAAATTGAGAGATTCAATCGATGGGCTCCGCTGCAAGAACTATCAAAGCCGGTACTTTGTTCCAAGGCAATCACTGGTCAAGTTGTTACAGACAGATATAATACAGAGCGAGTTGCGGGGAATAGTTCCTCTGCATCAACTACCCGAAATCGTCCAGACAATCTTTCGTAAAGGCCAACTTATCTTCGCTATCCTCGTGCTAATAGATCACTTGGAATACATCGCAAAATTTATTGAGAGCGACCAGCTGCAACCGAATTGGTTGGATCACAGGCTCCCATTTGACCAGCAAACACTCGAAACAATGATGGAGGCGGTTCCTGCCTCGCGATTCTACGAGAAACAATGGGAATTTACAGCGCCAGTATTCACGCCCTTCATGCTTCGAAGGCATCTTACAGACGACACCATACTTCCGTTCCATAGTGAGAATAAAATCGGAAGTGGCGGATTTGGCGATGTCTATCACATCACTATTAATACTGCACACCAAAGCTTCGATGATTCGATTCACCAGGTGAGGACGCTCAGTATGAGAATTGGAATAATCACTAATGAATGCCAGCTCGTACGAAAAGACCTGCAACCGCATTCGCAGGATTATGAGGTTGAGTTACAAAACCTGTCAACTTTAAAATTACTTCGACATCCAAACATTAGCGAACTCCTTGGATGCTACACCTATCGCGGCATTCACAGCTTTATATTTCCGAGGGCAAAGGGGGGAGATTTGCATAAGTTTCTGCGTTCTCCCCTACCGGATGCATTTATCGACAATAGTTCATTTCTTTTGGCACTCGCAGGGCTAGCTTCTGCTGTAGCCAGTGTGCACAACTTTGTTGCTGAAGAGCTTCCTCTTGCTTATATAGGATGTCATCATGACCTAAAAGCCGCCAATATTCTAGTAGACGGGAACCGGTTCATTCTCGCCGACTTCGGGCTTGCCAGGTTCAAACCCCCATTCGAAAGCTCTGCCACACCAGCCAAGGTGCGCCATGGATTCTCAATCGCACCTGAGTGCCAAACACTTGATAACACCTTCGAGCTGCATTTGGTCCATCGCTCCAGCGATATCTGGTCTCTTGGTTGCATAATGCTTGACGTCGTCACCTACATGCTGAAAGGGCCAGACGGAGTTGCCAGCTTTGAATCGAAAAGAGAGTTCCAGATTGGGCAATTCGAATATGCCTACTATCACAAAGGAAGCAAACCTAATCCAGTAGTGACTGCATGGATTGAGGAATTAGGCAGACAACAGGGAGCCGTTGAACAACTTCTACTGGAATTGATTGCTCAATGCCTACAACTTGACCCCCAGCTCCGCCCAGGCGCGGGTATTGTCGAGGCATCAATGATCTGGATTGCACTTTTTTCGCTCTCACAAGTCGCGTTAAATCTATTCGACGAACTCCCTAATAATGGCAATATCCACGAGATATCCATAGAGTCCTGGGTGGAGAAGAAGAGGTTTGAGAGCTGGATGAGATCTCTGGGATTTGCAACTCTGCCATCTGATACCTGCAAATTACCCGGGAGCCTGCCCTTTGGCCTTGGACAGTTTGAGATACTGTCAATCCATCTCAAAACCCTAATAGGCGAGTTAATAGCAATAATCAGTAAGAAAAGAGAGAAACACCTGAGGGTTTTTCTTCCTTTGCGTCGTTTGAATACGGCGCTGTATGATTCACTTCCCCAAGCAGAGAAAGAAAAAGCGCAGCAAATATCGGAAATCCTTCTTCTTGAAAGTGGCCAACTGGCGAAAATGAGAGGAGTTTTTGATGGGGATACAACGGCCAATCTTTCAAAGGTATCAATGCTCGCACAGAGTAAGCACGACAGTCAAAAGGTGGGGCTGCAATTGAAAGCTTGGTCCCACGATCAGGAGATCGCTCGGCCCAAGATCGGGAAAACCAAACTTGGCCAACACTTTACAGGTCAGGTCGAAAGTAGCCAGGGGCAGAGAATAAAGGTGATAATCGATTTCAAAGATTATGACGATCCCCTTCTCCGCAGCAAGCTGTACATGCGGATGGAAGAGATCAGTAAGCTTTGCCTGTCGGTTCAAAACTATGAAGACGTGGGGTTACTCAAGTGCCGTGGGTATTTTCACGATCAGGATCGACGATCGTTTGGTCTAGTCTATGACCTTCCAGAGGCCAAAGACGGCTTGACAGGACTCGAAAACAATCCGATCACACTCTATCATTATATCAGCGGTAAACAGCCTCACATTTTAAAGCCACCACTGGGGTATCGCTTCCAGCTCGCGCTCAACGTCGCTACTTCCCTCAACGAAGTGCACAAAATTGGATGGTTTCACAAGGCCCTTACCTCATCAAATATAATTATGTATCCACAGTCTATGCATCAAACTCGTCCATACCTTGTCGGGTTCCGGCACAGTCGGCCAAACGAGACAACTACCTTCACTGAGGGTCCGCCGTCAGACCAGGATATTAAAGGATACCAGCACCCACAGTACCTAAAAAAAGATTTGCGATACTCGGTCAACTACGATTATTATAGCTTGGGAATTGTGCTCTTGGAGATTGGTCTTTGGCTTCCACTGACAGCTATTGTTGAAGATCAAAGTCTCAGTGCTGAGGAGATCCGCCAAAAGGTCCTGAGCAAAAGACTTCCAGTATTGGGGCATAGTATGGGAAGTAATTATCAGTCCATCGTTGAAGCGTGTTTGGGAGACACATTCACATCCGCTGAGGATGAAGAAGCAGACGAAGCCAGCCCACAGTCCCAGCTTCATTTTCAATCCAAAGTCCTAAATCAGCTTTCGAGGTTGTCTAGTTTGGATATTTGAGTACGGCAAGAGGAGTCTCGTGGTATTAAAGTTAAACTTCTCATTCGGTAGTTCGTTACTTCTTCATGCACCCTCTGATTCACTTTTCAGTCCTCTTCGTGTTATTGACTGTTGCGGATAGGACCGTATGCCGACATCACAGAAGGTATAATATCCAAATATCCCGAAATGTACTCCGCCGGAAGATATAGAGATCTTTCTATAGTTCCGATCCTCACTTTCTCAAGTATATAACCTCTGTAAAACTCATAGATAAATCTGCAGAATTAACACTCTTTTTGCCCACGGTGCAATATTTACCAACTATCACCAAGCTAAGTTGAGACCGGGATCGCCATATTCGCAACAGCACATCTTATGTACGCCTATATTCCCGCCTTGAATATCACGAGCTTCTTCCATTTCAGCATTAGTATTTTGAGAAGCATACATCTTTTCAGATCCAAGGCTCCTAAAAATCCAGGCCTCCACTGACATGAACAGCTCATGCTTCCTAGCAGACATGCAGTAGCAGCAGCAGCTTTGCGGTTCGGTGTTGTTAACAACGCATATCCACCGATGCTACTGGAGTTGTTGCAACCCAACCATCGATTTACGTAATAATTCATCAATTTTTGATTACCTGATCAATGCCAACCTAATAGAATCGCACTGAGCAAATACAACTTGACTAAAATAATATAATATGCGCCCTAAGCCAACCTCTAGCTTATTAGTTAAGTGGGTACTACTCAGGTTGCCCAGGGACTGCTCAGGTGAGCTGGCTGAGCCGAGGGTGAGTCGAGGGTGATTAGGCCTGAGTAGAAGCGGCTATGCTTACTAACGGAATGTGGAACGAAGATTGAGGGATTAGAGTTCAACTACCAGAGAAGTAGAGCAGCAAGCATCCGAGTAACTCTAAGTCATGACGATAGGATGGTTCTGAAGAGTCAGCGCTGAGTGATAACAAGGATTTGTATGTAGTACGTACCGACTTCTAAAGGTCCATCGATTGACGGGCCATCCGTCCCAGGCACGTGTGCGTAACCAAGTTTGAGGAGGTAAATCTGATTGAAACGCTTTATATGGCCTATGGCCAAGCTATTAGGCGTAATATGGCGGAGGAAGCAGGGCTGGCTATGAGCCTCTTCTATACGGCGAATGAGTTGATCGGTAAGGAGGAGGATGGTCTTCAAGGTGAACTTGCGGTCGCAAAAATTGAATAAGTCTTCTAAGCTAGGTCCCAGGAGATCCATAACCATATACCTGTAGCTTTCGAAGGTCCCGAAGTGGTGGACAAATGGGATACCGAGACTACCGGTGAGGGTTTCGTAGACCCTGGCCTCATATTCGAGTCGAGGGTTTTCGTGATTAATAGACTCAAACTTGATAGCAACCTCTTCGCCATCTTCGCCCTCTTCGCCCAAAGTCATTTTGATTCCCTTGAAGGTGGACGTGCCAATCGGGACATTAATACGGTATTTATCTCTATATAGAGTTTCTAGTACCAGAAAGGCCTTAAGAAAGGACGTTATGCCGCACGAAAGAAAAGGGTAGGTGTAATTCAAGAAAGTCCCCGTTAATGAGTTAAGGTTAATGGGGAGATGGGATGTATGCCTTTAATAGCTAGATGAGGCTGAGAGCCAAGGGCGAACCGAAGCGAACGAGGCAGGCGAGGCAAAATATTAGATGGGCGGGCAACATGCTAATAACAGCTGATTTTTTTCGTTTTTGGAAAGGTGCGCCTTACTGCTGGCGCGGTGAGCAACGGGCGCCGATTAGCGTCATCGGATGCAGCGTCCGGTTCCCCGCGCTACGCTGGTACAGTCGCTTGCAAAACCGGCTTCCCCTTCGTGTGCAGCTGCTGGAACTTTTACCTCGTTCTTGACCAGGATCCCCGGCCCGATCTAACCAAATATGGTTAAGCGTATGAACTCAGCCATGTCACTTAAATGATGCCTCATCAAGATGTCCTTTTTACAAACTTCAAATACGTGCGAGAATTAGCCTCTTGACCACACTCGCACTATAGTGTCTCGTCTTCAGCGCCATGGCTCCGAACCTCGCTTCCTCCCAGCACGACCTAATTCATGACATGATAGTTGATAAGAAGCTCAAGACATGTCAAATGGCTAACGTTGCTGAGTGCAGTGAGCGTTCGATCAAAGCAATACGCACAAACATTCATTACGTTCAAGGCACATTTCTTTCGCCACACAAAGAAGCTCGATCTGTTGCTTTCATGGAATCAAGTCTATAACTTCCCTCTCCAACAGCTCCGGTTAAGGGTCATAGCTAAAGAAAGAGACGATTTTTCTGGAAAGTGTGACATTGAAGACGATCGGATCTTGGAGAGACTTTGTATTATGCGACCAGGCGCCTGGGGAAATAATCTTAGCGTTTGGGACAAAGACCAAACAGAGTATAAGAATTTCCTGGCCAATTACAGAGTAATTGCCACTTCTGGAAAATCAAACAAATATGTCCTTCGCCATAGCGTCAAGGGTAAACTTGATAGCAATAAGTCCATATTCGTTAATATGGTGCCTTACGAAGGCGAATCCGAAAAAGGGTTATTGGTAACAAGCCTGCCTCGACAAAACTCCTTTCTATTTCTCCGTCGGTCTCCGTCGCTCCTGGAGATTTCCTTGGCATCTTTTCTGGGAAGCTTCGATATATAGATTCGAAGCCGTTAAAAACTATTAAGGGCCCTGTTCCGGGTCTTTGGCTAGACTATTCGGAAATACCAGGAAATCTTAATCGGATGAAGGTAGCAAAGCCTGGTGAGAAGACGAACGTCTGTCTTGCGTGGGAGGGAGTGAACGAGGTGAAAGGTGAGAAGTCCTTCTGTCAATATTGGAGAGTTTTAGTTATAGCTACGAGGGACATCATGCCATTTGACGAGCTTATTCGTCCTCCCTAACTTAGGTTCTACTGGATAGCGACCTGTATATGCCTCGCAGTTTTATATATGTATAATATAAGGCAAGTGGTGACAGCAATTTGTCGATTACAGATGGACAGTGATGGAAACAATTATTAAAGTTATGTACTCGAAAGTAAAATAGTAGCTTGATTTGATTACTGTGACTTTCTTGGTATTCCTATAGTATCTTTATGTGGCAATATGTCTGTATTACTCAAATAAAGTTTATTTGCTGGCTCGCCTTCGAAGTTTCCTCAGTTGTGGCTTGATCAATCTCAAGCTACAGTGAAAAATCACGTGCTATAGACATTCCCGCACTCGTAAAGGGGTCATCCTCGGCTGGTTCGTCGGCCTTACAGTATTGTATAGTACCGTATTGCCTCACTTGGAGGCACGAAGTTCTCGTATATACAGAGGTACCTCTATCTGTTTAAGCAATAGCCGTGCTACGATCTCTTGCTGTGTCTTTTTTATCTTCAATTGAATCTGATAGGTAGGCGTAAATGCTATTTTTAGTATTATTTAACGCGTATTCGCTGGCAAGCGCATTACAAGGCCATCTGCCATTTCAACCTCATTTCCCTTCTCTAAATATTATCCGTACTGCTCTGTAAACCGCAGAACTTCGATATCCTGTTTATGCGTTTTGAAAAGTTCTTTAGCGTTAGGAACTATACGCTATAGAGCTCTTCTGTAACCGAGACGATACTGAGATAATAATTAGGAATACGCTTCGATAATCGTTAATACGGAAGCCTAACCTCTCGACACAGACCTATAAATATTCCTGGTCATTATCAAGTTCGATCAAAGCGGCGCTATAATAGTCAGTACATAAACTCTGTACTCACCTCTTACTAACATCGTGGGCTACAAAGCCTCTGAAACTATTATACCCTAATGCCAAGACTATAGCAAGCAATATAGCAAGCAATGCAGCAAGAGTCGAGTATATTATATATATATTTACTTGACTACGCTAATAATATCTAGTATTATTGCTGTCCATGGCCTGAATCCTCGAAGCAAGAATGATGCCGACCACGCATGGGACACATAGCGTACGCCTGCCGGATCTCAAGGACGCCTCTGGCTACGCAACGAGCTTCGTTAATATATTCCGGAATCGCGAATCTTTCTTTACGAATATAACTCAATAGCAGTATACGGGAAGAATAAAAGCACGTTTATTGAGAAGGCGAATATGCTACTTGAAGAGATACGACTCGAGAGACATAACGCCGGCAAGAGACCGATCCTGTTCCTGGGCCATAGCATGGGCGGGCTCTTGATTAAATAAGCCTTAATTAATGCACACAATAGCACTAATCCCGGGTATAACTCAATCAAAGATGCTACTACAGGGCTGGCATTCTTCGCCACACCATACCACGGCGCGAGCTTAATAATAGTAATATTCGGAGATATTCTGGCCAAGATTATAACTGGTCTCGGAATCCAGTAAGGTGATAATATACTAGAGACGCTAAAGAATGAGGGTACTTTCTCAGGCATTATACGTGAATAGTAGAGGCACCGGCTACCCGACTATAGTATTATATCGTTTTGGGGAGCGTATAATAGTATAAGTCGCCTTGTAATATAACGTAAAAGTTATATACAGCTAATGGCAAGTTCGAATTAGTACATACCAAAGGAGAGCGTACGGTTCAATATATCTGGAAAGGACGAGAATATCGTAATATTACAGGCAGACCATAGCAGTATATGCAAGTTCGGTCACTCAACGGCGGATCAGGATAACTTAAAGTTGGTTCGAGGCAATATCCAAGATCTCTACGAAGAGGCACTTAAGATCGGTGAGTTAAGCGTTAGTCTCACTAATATCAATAAGGAACAAAGTTCAGAGCGAGAGCTCCAAATGAGACTGGCAAGGTTAGGACAGTAGAGTTGAGCTTTTAAAGTCGAAGTATAACCTCTTCCCAGAAAAAGCTACTCCTGTTAGGAAGACGTATTCTTATTCTATCTGTCTCGCATATTAATAACACGCCGTTAATGCTCATATATCCATCTTACTAATATTAATATATAATCTGCAGATATAAGCTATTATTAACCTTTCTCCAGTATATAAACAACAGAAAGCTGCCAATGAAGAGTGTCAAGTGGTTATAGATTGGTTAACGCCGTTTGACTACGGTTCACAGCAAAGCGACTATATTGGGAGGCGACAGCCTGGAACTGGCCAATGGCTTCTGGGATCGGCAGAGTACCAGACGTGGCTAAAGAGCCAGAAGCAGACGTTGTTCTGCCCTGGCATTCCCGGAGCGGGAAAGACAATTATTACATCCATCGTAGTTGAAGAGCTTACTACTCACTTCCAGTCTGACGAGAGGATTGGCATTGCATACCTTTATTGCGACTTCCGGCGGCAAGACGAACAGAAGGCCGACAACTTACTAGGGAGCCTACTGAAACAGCTTACCCAGTGTCAATCGTCTCTATTACGCACCGTAAAAGAACTCTACGAACGATACAAAGATAAACGGATACGGCCATTATTCGATAAAATCTCGAAAGCCCTCCACTCTATAGCCGCTGAGTATTCGAGAGCCTTTATCGTCATCGATGTACTCGATGAATACCAAGCATTTGATGGCTGTCGAACGAGATTCCTATCAGAGATTTTCAGCCTTCAGGCTAAGTACGGAGCAAATATCTTTGCGACTTCAAGATTCATTCCAGAGATCACAGAAAAGTTCGAAAGGAGTTTATTAATAGAAATCCGTACCAGTGATGAAGATGTACGGAGATATCTTGATAGTCAGATGTTCCGGCTACCAGGGTTTGTGGTTGGTAGCCCGGAGCTGCAGGAGGAAATAAAGACTGAAATTATTAGAGCCGTTGATGGAATGTATAGGGTTGTTTTTATCCTATACAAAAGTCGCTAACATCTGCAGGTTCTTGCTTATACAGCTTTATCTTGATTCCTTAATCGGAAAGATAGCACCAAAGACAGTCCGAGCCGCTTTAAAGAAGCTGCCGACAGGATCCGGTGCGTATGACTATGTATATGAGGATACTGTAGAGAGAATTAAGGGACAGGTTATAGACGCGAAAGAGCTTGGTATGAAGGTTTTGTCTTGGATCGCTTGCGCAAAGAGGCCGCTCAAAACAACGGAACTTCAGCACGCGCTTGCGGTGGAAGTTGGCGAGGTGGAACTCGACCAAGAGAATCTGCCACAGATTGAAGCCATGGCCTCAGTGTATACTGGATTAGTTACCGTTGATAAAGAAAGCAAAATCATTCGGTTAGTCTACTACACGACGCAGGAATACTTCGAGCGAATACAAAAACGGTGGTTTCCAAATGCAGAGGCTAATATTACGATAATCTGTATTACCTACCTCTCATTTGATATTTTTGAGCATGGGTATTATCAAACGGACGACGAATTCGAGGAGCGATTACGGTCAAATCGGTTTTTTGAGTACGCCGCACGAAACTGGGGGTATCATGCTCGCAAGATTTCAACTCTAAGCCAAGCGTTAAGCCAAGTATTAAGCCTAGTAGTCGTAGAGTTTCTTAAGAGTGAAGCTAAGGTCAATGCATCTAGCCAAGGGTTATTGGCTATTAAGCACTACTTACGGAAATCAAAATATAGCCAGAAAGTTCCCAGATGGATAACGGGACTACATTTGACGGCATACTTCGGGGTTGAGGCTATAGTTAAGCTGCTGCTTGACATAAGCAAGGCCGACGTCAACGCAAAGGATGAATATAGTCAGACGCCATTATGGTAGGCTACTCAGGGAGGGCACGAGGCCGTTATGAAACTGCTGCTCGACACAGGCAAGGCCGACGTCGGCGCAAAGGATAAATACGATAATCGGACGCCGCTATAGTTAGCTGCCGAGGGAGGGCACGAGGCCGTTATGAAATTGCTACTCGATACAGGCAAGGCTAACGTTGACGCGAAGGATAAATACGATAAGCAGACGCCGCTATTATTAGCTACTAAGAGAGGGCACGAGGCTATTATAAAGCTGCTGCTCGATATAGGCAAGGCCAATACCGAGTCAAAGGATAGATACAATCGGACGCCGCTATGGTGGGCTACTGAGAGAGGGCACAAGGCCATTATAAAGCTTCTGCTTAATACAGGCAAGGCTAATATCGAGTCAAAGGATATATACGATCGGACGCCGCTATAGTTAGCTGCTCAGGAAGGGCACGAGGCCGTCGTAAAGCTACTGCTCGACACAGGCAAGGTCGATATTGAGTCAGATAATAATGGTCAGACACCGCTATTAATAGCTGCTAAGAGAGGGCACAAGGCCGTTATAAAACTGCTGCTCGATATAGGCAAGGCCATTATCGAGTCAAAGGATAGATACGATCGGACGCCGCTATGGTGGGCTGCTCAAGGAGGGCACGAGGCCGCTATGAAACTACTACTCGAGAAATACGATAAGCAGACGTCGCTATTATTAGCTGCTAAGGCAGGGCACAAGGCTATCGTCCAGCTGCTACTCGAGATAGGCAAGGTCGATATTGACTCGAAAGATGAGTCCGGTCGTACGCCGCTGTCGTGGGCTGCTGGGAAGGGGCACGAGACTTTCATCCAGCTGCTGCTCGATACAGGCAAGGTTGATATTAACTCAAAAGATGAGTCCGGTCGGACGCCGCTGTGGTGGGCTGCCAGCCACGGTCGCGAGGCTATGGTCAAGCTGCTGCTCGAGACAGGCAGAGCCGATGTCGACTTAAAGGATAGCTACAATCAGACGCCGCTATCGTGGGCGGCTGAGAACGGGCATGAGGCTATGGTCAAGCTGCTACTCGATAATGGCGCTGATATCAGTATAGAGAACAGAAGTGGCTGGACTGCCCTACAACTAGCGGCACTCAATACATATGAAAGTATAGAGCAGCTCTTGGTGATACATGGAGCGCCTGAGCCAGATGACTTTATAGGCTTCAGAAGCTGTTTTTGTAAAGTAGTATTTAAATCGTATTATATATATTTTCATAACCTTAATAGAGAGGGGCTTGGGGGACCTAATCTTTATATATTATACTTAATATTAAAATGCTTTATAGCAGCTTCGCTTTTACTCTTCTGGCCATGTAATGCTATACTCTCTAATACTTACTTCAGCGTACTCTTATACTATATGCAATTTAAAGAGTAGTCGATTTAAGGTTCTCTGGGCAGTTCGAGTACAAGTAATCTGCGACAAATAATGCAATAGTCTGGGATATCTCCAGAATTTTAATTAGGCAAAATCCATTTGATCCTTTAATATATAAGGGCCAAGAGTTGAGCTCGAATATAACTTTAAAGCCAGGAACTATATAACCAGATGCGGAGCTCGAGGCCGGGCACTCGTTTAATTATATAAGATTGTGTCCCATTACGTAATATACAGTTACGTGAAGTAATGCCACGTGATATCTAATAAAAAAAGTGGAACAGTCTTTAACTTTATAAATATAGTATTGTTTTTACATATACAGACTTGAGATATTTCAAGGCGGAACGATCAGATTTCAGGTACTAATTATCTCTATATCTTGCCTTCCCTTATAATATTGCAGAGATGGCAGATAGAAATTGGAGATTAGTGGCTCAACTAATAAAGATCCGGGCTATAATAATACGGTTAAGTTTATTGCTTGTAGTCAGAATAAATAGAAACAAATATAATAAAAAAACGTCTGCTAAGGATTATACTCTAGAAGTTTGCAGAAGATCTATTTCCAGAATCCCTATACCACGCTAACTGTTTTTAGCTAGCGAGATTCAAGAACCCTTGCTTAATAGGGAGAAATAAAAAATTCCAAGTGAGTGTAGAGGGGAAGCCAGTTTTGCAAGCGACTATATACAGGTGCAGACAGACCCTAATATTTGTTATACCGCCTTAAATTTCTGCTAAGCAAAGAAGCCGGAAGGGGATCCTCTAAAAATATATTCTCTAAATTAGGGGTCCGAAAACGGCTCCAAATTATATATCCAAACTCCAGAATACTAAAGGATTAGAATTAGTTCTATAATAGGGTTTATTTATAGCTAATTATATAATAGCAAATCTATTTGCTATACTCTTTTATATAAAGATAGATATAATAATTATTAATAATATTATGGCCCCGGTATAAATAAGAGCCCCTATACTCAGATAATCTAGAAGTCCTTTCTCTACTCTAATAATAGACTTAAAATCCGGGATCCTTAATTAGATATAGTATATAGTAAGATAAGAAAAAATAAAAAAAATAAAACAAAATACAGATACTAAATAGACTTCCAGTTTTAGTAAATATATAATAAAAGAAAAGAAATATAAACAGGCAAGTATAGGTATTATAAAAAGAATAAATATTAGATCTAGAATTACCTAGCCTTAAATACTCGCAAGTATAACTTTTGCCAAAATTCCTTTAAGAGGCTAAAGAGACTTGACTTTATTACTAACGAATTTTATAACAGCTTCTAGTACTATATTAGAGATATTTAGTAGCAAGTTATAGTATATTATATTAGTATTAAACCCTATATAAAATTGCTTGGTATCGAGTAAATAATTTCTTAGAATTATTATATTAATAGTAGTAATATTTATAATATTAGAAATAGCTATAATAATAGCGCCTATAGCTTCCTGAACCTTACTAGAAGTAGCGGAAATAGCTATATTAAGGAGGTTTGCCATACTTTAAGCTTTGCTTTGAAATAGTTAGAGATAACCTTTTAATAAAATAGTATATAGCCTAACTAAGGAATTTAGTAAATAGATATTAGTTAAATTGAATTATATTATTAAAGTTACAATTCCCGCTTTTATAATATTATCCTAAGCTAGTATATAGATTTCTAATATTATATAATAGAAAGTAATAAAGAAGAAGGCTAATAAAACTTCTATCTTTATCCAGTTTTATAATTGCAGTATTTTGAGTTATTAAATTCAAAGAGAAAATTCTTTAAGATTATTTAGTAGTAAATTAAGAGTATTATATAAAGTAAATAAAAGTTAGGATATGAGTATTACTAAAAGTAAGGTACTAGATACGGCTTCTATTAAAAGAGTAAGTTTGCCCCCTATTTCCTAAGGCTAAAAATAACTATTCTACTCTCTTCTAAGATTTCATTACTAATATTTATATATTCTAATTATAGTAATAGTTAATATAAATATAGGTCCGAATATTAGTTAACTATCTCTGGGAAATTAAGTTCGAGATATAAGCCTATTATAGTAATCCGCTCTATATCTGAAATACTAAAATATAATTAATAAGGGCTTAATTATATATTCAAATTTAACTATAGAATACTTTACTAAATAAAATATTAGATTAAAGTTTAAAAGTCTAGGAATTAAGTAATTTTAAATAATTTTAAATATTAAATATTAAGTTATATTTCCTGAAATAAATTCTAGTATAGTAAGTAGTTCTATAAAGTTTATCTTAGTAAGCTTAATTAGTATATAAGTATCTAGCTATAGTAAGGAACTAGGAGACTTACTTGGAAAATAATATAGGAGTTAAGAACTATACTATTACTTAGTATAGATATGGTATAATAACCCGGAAACTATAATTAGTAGAAAGTTCGGAATAAGTAATAGAAAAGGTATTTAGCTTAGGATATATATTAATTATAAATCTAGAAATTAGCCTAACTTGGATTTCAGAGAAAGTAATATCTACTATTAGTAATATTCTCTTACTTATTATTAAAAGAGGTAGAGATTATATTAATAGCTCTTAATATATTAATTACTACTTCTAATATAAATCTATATATACTAAGAAATAGAGAAGGCAAATATAATAATAAAGGAAGCAAATTTTCTTATATAAAGATAAAATAAATAAGGCTAGAATAGAAGAATTCTAGTAAACTTTATATATCTATATCTAAATAAATTAGAGACTAAGATAATACGGGTAATAAAATCTGCTAGAATAGGCTCTAGTTACTTATACTTATCTAGAATAGATTAAATATATCTTGCAAGCCTATTTTAGTTCTCAAATTAGCTAGGTTTATATTATAAAACTAAATAATTATAAGTATTCTAAACTCAAGTTATTAAATATATATTTAAATTAAAGACTTAAATAAATAAATAGGCCAAATCTTTAGGCAAATTAAGTTATTAATATAAAAGAGTTATAACTAAAAAGTTTATATTATATTTTGCTTTATTTCGGATCTTATATCAGGTTCTAATAGCTTAATATAAATATGTTATTTATAATAGTACTAATAGTACTAGTATCTAGTACTAAGGCAAATACTATAATTATTTCTACTAAAGCCTATTTCTTTCTGTCTCTATAATATCTAATAAGCTCTAGAGACTCTCGTTAACTTAAGTAATATATGCCTCTACCTATTATTCCAACTAGTAGAAATAAGATATATAGGCTTAAAGTTAGTATCTTTATTTCTTTATTTAAGTTAATAGCTAAATAAAGCCAGCCCGACTCAATTATATTAGCTATATCTTGACTATAGGAGATAAATATAGTAGCTATAATATTAGTAGTATTAATATTCTGTTTTATCTAACTATTTCGAGTACTACTATCTTTAAATTTGGAAATAATAGAGTATAATCTAATTATACTATATCCGAGAATTACCCGGCAGACAGAATTAGAGAGACTATTCTAGGCTATAACTTCAATACTATATAGGTCTTTAATATTTCCCTATAATAATTTCTTATTAGATAAAAATTAATTCTTAATCTAAAAGTTAATAATTCTTAAGTTATTACTAGTAATAAAAGTAAGGAAGTTCTAATAAATATAATATATAGTAATAATTACTATATTCTGCCCGGCTATAATACTATAAATATAGTAAAACTTAATATAAATAGTTCTGCTAATAATATATAAAGTAATCTTAATAAGTTAAGTATATTAACTAGTTTTTTTAGTACTAATATTAAATAAAAACTAGAATATTAGTATATAGTAATAAAACCGGAAAGTATTATTAATTATATAAAAGATAAAGATAAGAGCCTATAATAAGCCTTTACTTAAGGCTTTAATTTTAATATTACTTATAGCTTGAAATACTTTATATTCTCGAGAATAGCTTATAATAAATATTAGCTTTACTATTACTAAAGAACTATATATTATTCTTTTAAACTTTCTATAAATAGTTAGCGAACTAGCTAGACTAAAAGAGATTTATATAAAGCTAATATAGTTTTTAATCTTAATATCTTTTATATTCTTATTATAGTAAAAAAATAATGCTTTTACTACTTTCTCTAAGTTTTATATTTAATTCATTATATATACTATTAGTATAATGAAATATAGAAATAGAAGAAACTTAATAAAGGCAAAAAGACAGCAAATTATTAATAAATAACCTAATAAAGAATTTAAAAATAATACTAGATCTATAATTTTTCTAGCTTTATAAATTAAATAGTATTATAAGAATTAAAAGTTACTAAGCTTCTTAATTTATTTTTCTTAATAATTCTTCCTAAATAATTATAGGCCTAAAATATATATTAGATATAGATCTTAGGAATTAATTTCTTTATTCTAGTATATATAAATAGAATATAAAAACAGGATATAGAAACGAGATATAGAAATAGAATAAAGAAATAAGATATAAAAATAAAAATATAGAAATAGAATATAGAAGTAAGATAGGTAGAGCCCTATTATACTATATTCTATATCCTATACTATAGAGCTAGAACGTTTAGTATATCTATTAGCTAATATATATAATACTAATCTTTCTATTATATAGCTATCTTTATAAAAATTATAAATAAACTATATTAGAAGACTTAGATAAGATCTATTTTCTAAACCGGAAATAAGATAAAGTATTTATATTTGGTTTATTTTATATATAATTAATAGTTTATTATAAATAAGCTAATAGAATATAATATATTTCAATTTCCTATAGCTCTACTTACTTCTTCTTATTTCTATAACTAGTATACTCTATTATTAGTTTTAATACCTCTATATAAATACTTATAAATTCTTAAATATTAAAGGCTTTTATCTAGAAATACCGGAATTTGGCTTGGCCTTATAAGTTAATATCTAGTAAGTAAAGACTACTAACTATATAATATAGAGATAGCTATTCTAGACAATTCTAGTTATTACTAAAGTTATT